CTAATGTATAGGAATAGATTAAAATAGAGATTTCTCCAAAACAGCGCTGAATGAATGCTTAAAGGGGTTCACACAACCTGTTCTGGGACTTGGTGACTGTCATGCGCGTCCGTGTGAAGAGACCACCAAACAGGCTTTGTGTGAGCAACATGGCTGTTTATTTCACCTGGGTGCAGGCGGGCTGAGTCCGAAAAGAGAGTCAGCAAAGGGAGATAAGGGTGGGGCCGTTTTATAGGATTTGGGTAGGTAAAGGAAAATTACAGTCAAAGGGGGGTTGTTCTCTGGCTGGAGTGGGGGTCACAAGGTGCTCAGTGGGGGAGCTTTCTTAGCCAGGATGAGCCAGGAAAAAGAATTTCACAAGATAATGTCATCGCTTAAGGCAAGGACTGGTTATTTTCACTTCTTTTGTGGTGGAATGTCATCAGTTAAGGCGGGGCAGGGCATTTTCACTTCTTTTGTGATTCTTCAGTGACTTCAGGCCAGCTGGGCGTATATATGTGCAAGTCACAGGGGATGCGATGGCTTGGCTTGGGCTGAGGCCTGACGGTGACCATTGTTTGTGTCCACATTCAATTGAGTTCAAATTTATTATTTAACTTTTCCTCCACAAATTCCCCTGCCTTGATGAATCAGCTCTGTCTAGGCAAAGGGCAAGGTGAACCGCTTGGGTCTTACACAACCTCTGCCTCCTGGGTTCAAGCGATTCTTCTGCTTTGGCCTCCAGAGTAGCTGGGACTACAAAAGTGCACCACCATACCCTGCTAATTTTTTGTATTTTTAATAGAGATGGAGTTTCATCATGTTGGCCAGATTGGTCTTGAACTCCTGACCTCAAGTGATCCGCCCACCTTGGCCTCCCAAAGTGCTGGGATTACAGGCGTGAGCCACAGAGGTTGTCTCTAAATGATTTTTTTTTTTTTTTTTTTTTTTTTGAGACAGAGTCTCGTTCAGTCGCTCAGTCGCCCAGACTGGAGTGCAGTGGCACGATCTCTGCTCACTCTAAGCTCCGCCTCCTGGGTTCACGCCATTCTCCTGCCTCAGTCTCCTGAGTAGCTGGGAGTGGGAAGCAACAGCCTGGGCTCCAGCGGAACTCCTGAGTTGACTCACAGGTTCAAAAGGCAGCATCCACCCCTTACCAGGCAGGCGTCAATCACTGCACCCTTGCTCCCTTAAGCACCTGAACTTGTACCTACTTATTGTAAAGAAGAAAAAAACTTTCTCCAGGTGGAAAGGGTACAGGTAATAAAAGAAGGATGAATCTGGTTACCGGATGGGAGAATAGCTGTGCCACAGCTACTTGGAGCAGTGGTTGTACTGGCTGTGCATGAAACTACCCATCTAAGTCAGGAGTCACTTGAAAAGTTGTTAGGCCGGTATTTTTACATCTCCCATTTATCAGCTCTTGCCAAAACAGTAGCACAGCTATGTGTTATCTGCCGACAGCACAATGCAAGACAGGGTCCAGCCGTTCTGCCAGGTATAAAGACATATGGAGCAGCCCCCTTTGAAGATCTCCAGGTGAACTTCACAGAAATGCCAAAGTGTGGAGGTAATAAGTATTTACTAGTTCTTGTGTGTACCTACTCTGGGTGGGTAGAGGCTTATCCAACATGAACTGAGAAAGTTGGTGAGGCAACCTGTTTGCTTCTTCGAGATCTCATCCCTAGGTTTGGACTGCTCTTACGGATCGGCTTGGACAACAGGCCAGCGTGTGTGGCTGACTTGGTACAGTAAACATCAAAGGTATTGGAGATCACATGGAAACTGCATGCCGCCTACCAACTGCAGAGTTCCAGAAAGGTGGAGTGAATGAATCAGACAATCAAAAACAGTTTAGGGAAAGTTGTCAGGAAACAGGATTAAAGTGGTACCTTTAACCCTGGTACTGTTCAAGATTAGAGGCAACCCTTCAAAGAGAACAGGATATTCTTCCTATGAAATATTATATCATAGGCCCCTTCCTATATTAGTGGAACTCCCAGGCCACAAGGTATCCAGAGCCATGACCACAACTATATTTACCTGTAAAATGTGATACTGGAGTAGAGTATTTTCATTCTTTCCTTTATCCAAGAGCTAGCAAATCAGAACAATTGATCCAGGTTCTGGAGTTCCACCTGGGTAGTTCTATTTTCTGTTTAGAATCAGCCTGAGTCTCTCCAGCCTGGCTTATCATTGGGCCATCAATCCAGGGTCACTGGGAATTCTCTAACAATCACCCAGATGTCTTTGAGGCATTTGAGAATGTCCATAGCAGAATTGTGTCAGACTCAGAAGAATGGTTAATTCTGTTTCTCTCTTAGTGTAAGAGAAATTTAGTCATCCTGTGTTTGTTCCTCTCCTCATACAAGAAATGTCTTTGGTTGGTACCCAGATGAGAGTTTCTCCAGTTTCCAGGTACTTGGATGATAAACAGGGAGGAGAAATCTGGAGACCCAAATAGATAATGGAGTTGCTTACATTTCATATCACCATTAAAACCATACATGAAGCAGTCATGGTTCCTACAACCCAGAAACTTTTAGTCTAGACTAGCAACTGGATAAATAATTGAATTATGCATCATATCGTTGGTAAAATAAATGGATGTGTCCAAAATCTTGGGCTTTATTTAGGCCGCTTTCTTTATATTGTTGTGACTTCTAATGTCTATACCTGAAGGGATATTCATGAACAGAAGAATTGTTATTATAATTAATTTCTTTTTTTTTCTTTTCTTTACTTTTTTTTTTTTTTTTTTTTGAGACGGAATCTCACTCTGTCCCCCAGACTGGAGTGCAATGGTGCTATCTCGGCTAACTGGAACCCCCACCTTCCGGGTTCGTGGAATTCTCCTGCCTCAGCCTCCCAAGTAGGTGGAACTGCGGGTGCCTGCCACCAGGCCCAACTAATTTTTGTATTTTTAGTAGAGACTTGGTTTCACCGTGTTAGCCAGGATGGTCTCAATCTCCTTACCTCGTTATCTGCCCGCATCGGTCTGCCAAAGTGGCAGGATTACAGGCGTGAGACGCGACACCTGGCCACATATTTATTTTCTAACATAATTACCTTAGAAAGTCTGGGTGTGGTGGCTCATGCCTGTAATCCTAGCACTTTGGGAGGCCAAGGCGGGCAGATCACAAGGTCAGGAGTTCATGACCAGCCTGGTCAGTATGGTGAAACCCCATCTCTACTAAAAATACAAAAATTAGCAGGACATGGTGGTGCGTGCCTGTAATTTCAGCTACTTGGGAGGTTGAGGCAGAAGAACCGCTTGAACCTGGAAGGGGGAGGTTGCAGTGAGCCGAGATCATGCCACTGCACTCCAGCCTGGGTGACAGAGTTAATGATTCACTTGGTGGAATAGCTCTCTGAAAGAATTTTTTTCACTATAGAGTTAATTATTTTTCTCTTCATTATTAAGTATCTTTATGCTGTTTATGTGCATAAAACATCACATTTAATCTGGCAGCTGTCCTTTTTTCTTATTTTTTTTACTACATATTTTAATTTGAAATATGAAGGCTCTTATCTTTGTTTATAGGCCAGAAAAACTGGGAAAAACACAGGCTCTTCCACTTACCAGTTGTTTGACAAAATATCATTCTTGGGCCAAATATCATTCTTGGGCCAATAAAGACATTGGCATTATTGATGAGCTAGTTAGAAATTCAAAAAATCAGATTTTATGTCAGATCTTATGGAAAAAAAGCCTGCATAACAAGGTCTTCAGCTTATTATGTATATTAAAATTTGAGAGGTGCCTTCTAACTCAACCTGTCTTTTTCGTCTGAAAAATATTCACAACTCATTCTGTATGATGTAAATATAGCACTCAAAACTGTACATGTTTTTGTTCATGCCCTTAATTTTATACTTTATTATCTAGGAAAATATATATGAACTAATGTTGTGGATTCTAAGCTGCTCTTTTTTCTCAGAGTTAGAGAATACAGTAGAGAATATTTCTGTGTTGAAAATTATTTTATTGGATAATTTTAGTCAGTCCTGTAAGTCAGAACCAGTTCTCTTTACTCTCACATTTCACCTTAAGTCAAATTAAAAATTCTGCTCATGGCCATTTAGTAAAAGTGTGTGTGTGTGTGCGTGTGTGTGTGTGTGTGTGTTTCAGGGACCATTGCAATTTATGGATGTGGCCATAGAATTCCCTCTGGAGGAGTGGCATTGCCTGGACACTGCACAGCAGAATTTATATAGGGATGTGATATTAGAGAACCACAGACACCTGGTCTTCCTTGGTGAGGATAACTTGAATACATAATTCATAATATATCCTAAAGATTTTATTTCTCTTTTTTTGTAGAATGTTTTTTAGTAATTTATTCTTTTCATAAAAGAGTTTCAGATTCCTTTTTCCAGAAAATCTTCCGAATTTGTTCATTTAGAATAGAATTTCTTCAAGATGTTTCATCTTAATCCAAACTTTCCACATTCCTGAGTAGAGCTGTATTCTTCACTCCAAATTAGTGGTAATTCCAAAAATTTAGTGGCATAAAATATTGTTGCCCCCATCTGAAAATCTAATTGCCACTACCAATTTTTGATTCCGTAGTACCAGGTAGTAAAATTAAGAAACCTGCATATTGAAAGTATTTTCTTTCTTTCTTTCTTTCTCTCTTTCTTTCTTTCTCTTTCTCTTTCTTTCTTTCTTTTTCTTTCTTTCTCTTTCTTTCTTTCCCTTTCCTTCCTTCCTTCCTTCCTTTCTCTTTCTTTCTTTCTTTTTCCTTCCTTCCTTCCTTCCTTCCTTCCTTTCCTTCCTTCCCTTTCCTTTCCTTTCCGTTCCGTTCCATTCCGTTCCATTCCTTTCCTTTCCTTTTTCCTTTCCTTTCCTTTCCTTTTCTTTTTGACAGAGTTTCGTTCTTGTTCAGGCTGGAGTGCAATGGCATGATCTCCGCTCACCACAACCTCCACTTCCTGGGTTCAAGCAATTCTCTTGTGTCAACCTCCTGAGTAGCTGGGATTACAAGCATGTGCCACCATGCCCGGCTAATTTTTTGTATTTTTAGTAGAGATGGGGTTTCTCTATGATGGTCAGGCTGGTCTTGAACTCCTGACCTCAGGTTATCTGCCCACCTCAGCCTCCCGAAGTGTTAGGATTACAGGTGTGAGCCATCACACCCAGCTGAAAGTATTTTCTAAATATTTAGAAATTTCT